TACTCATAACTGTTGTATTGGTGTAATATGAACATGGAGAGGTACTTGGAGAAAACCGGATATAAATAAGCTTCAACTTAGCTTTTTAAAAAATATATACAAAATTGTATGGCTGTCTTTTAAGGTCCAAAGTTAAAATTTTAATCTGGATGTTACGATATTAATTATTTAAATATACCACAAAGAGTAGATATATTCCCGAGAGCTGAAGTTAATCCCTTTCATGAAAAAAAGAACTATAGCAAAACTTAATTATCATCCAAAAAATATAAAAAGCAATTTAGTAAATAAGGTCTTTAACTGTTGCAAATGATTTTTCATCCTACCTTTCTCTCTCTCCCTCTCTCTCTCTTCTTTTTTTACTGCAATACAACTGGTGTATTCCAACTTGAAAGGATATTATAATAAGCGTATTCATTTGATAATTCATTAATCACTATAGCCGTTTAATTATTAGTCATCTATCAAAAGTTTTTTCAACTGGACAATTAGATATTTAAAAGAGAAGTGTCTTACGTGTAAATGTTACAAGAAAGCTGTAAAATACATCTACCTCTTTTTCTTCTGCTTCCCTTTATACCTTTCGCGATATTAGCAGATACACTAACAAACACAAAATAAGATACAAATATTCTATCTCTTTTTCTCTTTCCCCTTCCATCTCTATCAAGTCCCTAGATACTCTTATAAAAAAATAACGTAAATGTTATAAACTTTTGTGTAATAATTTAGTTCAAGCTATTTTCTCTTTGATATAAAACGCAAAAAGTATTTCCAAATATACTATAAAGACAGTTGGAAAATTAAATGGATGCTAAAAAATATGTAAAAGAAATTCAAGGTTAAAATAAAGTTAAAAGACAAAAAAAACTGTACTTAAGACACAAAAGAGGATAAGTTATAAAAGAAACTTAAAAAGAAAGAAGATAGTGATCTGTGAATTAGGGAAATGAAGAAAACTTGTCTATTGTACAATTTTTATTTTTCAGTTAATGATAATAAAAAAATTCATAAAATTATCAAATTAAACCTGCAAGAAAATATTTAGCTAAAAGAGAAGACATGGATGATTTGTACAAAGCGGACTGAGTAATGGACAATAAAATTGACACTATATAAACTGTATAAAAAAGTAAATATGTTACCTAGGCCTGTCCTTAGTCTCTAGAGTGATGGAAAATTTAGCAAATAGAACTAATCCGCTTCATATATGAGTGCAATACATAATGTAAAAGACCCTACAGAAGCGTTGTTGTTTTATTTCAATACACTAATCTATCGTAGTCTCTTGAGAGACACTAAACGAGGTTGGTGTTTGATTATTTATAGTGAACATTTGAATATCACGGTAACCGTGTATTAAATTTCCCAATCTCCAATACATGTTTATTTCAGTTCGCTTTTAACTCAATTAGTCTTTTATTTTTTTTCTCTAATCTATAACTAAACAATTCAATATATTAAAGCTATAGCTTACTTAAGAGAAATACACCTGGTAGTAGTTTATCAGAGAATTATAATCAACTTAGTTACGCTTAACCTATAAAGTGATTACGTATATGTTTTTTAAAACCATTATTTAAAAATTTCCACCTAGAAGATGAAACGTAATTGGCCTGGTTTATAACTAAATTTGTCAAGTATGTCACTAATAATAAATTTGTCAAATTCACTATTTATTATATTCTATTACATTTTGAAAGGTAAAGAGTATGAACAACTGCAAAACAGAAATGCTTTTCTATATTACCTACTGTTATTGGTTTTCGCTTTTATTCTTTTTCTCTCTCTCTTTCGCTGTCTGACGAATATTTAAAAATACTTGTTCACAAAACGTAGCTATTCATGTAAATATCCATACATTCATCCATACGTTACTGCATACTTGCATATGTACATATATATATATATATATATATATCTAAAATATCGCGGAGAAAAATCACCCAGTATATAAATAATAAATTTGTACTCTTGTACTAGAATTCTGTTTTTTATCTATTTCATTCCTGTAAACCTTTTTTCATATAATTATTCTCCCTTTAAACATGTTATTCTGGTTCATAGAGCTTTTGTCATAAGTATCAGACAAGATATTCCATTTACTTACGAGTTCCATTGGACCTCCGTATAATATTTTCCAAGAAAGTATTTTGAGGTGCAACCAAGCCCCTCTTGGATCCAGGCATCTTGTTAAATAAATTCTCTTTTCTTTCGCTTTTCCTTTACGTCATAGCGTATCCGAACGAACAGGCGTGGCGCGACTGAGCGTTAATAGACGTCCGTTTAAACCATGCGCGCATGCGTAGTTTGTCTATCGCACCTGATCATGGCGTCCGTTGCTGTATGAAATATTCATTGTTGTTATATCGTTACCATAGTGACTTCATACTGATAGGGTTTAAAAATATGATTTAACCAAAAAGTTTGTGAATAGTAAAAGGTCCAATGTGATTAGAAATATATCAAAACATATGTAAATGAGGAGAATAGTTGGAACAATAAGTAAATAGGAAGTAGGGAGGGACTGTTCAAATATGTTTGTTCCTATGTTTATTTTGGATCGTCACTGAGGACATTTTCTGAAGGTCGATATCTCTGTTGAATGAATTATCTTTTTTTGTTTAAGATTTCATCTCATGCATTAATTTAAATTAAAAAAAGTTTACAGCTCTCAAATGAATTGTTGTTCTTATTTCATTAAGATTCGGAGAAACTCTGCTACTTAGCAAGAAAGAATAAGAAATTGAATAGATAAAAGTCTTGAAAGCTGTTAAAAAGGAATATCTATTGACAGAAAAGAAAAAAAACAATAATTTAACTATAGGTTTACGCTACATCCTTATTGATCATTCTCTACAAACATCATATACCTCTTTAACTTAACGCAGCATTAACGCCAAACAAACAATCTTTTTAGGGGACGTGCTACAAAAAATATTAATATTAATATAATCCAGAGTTATTTAACTTTTGTTGTTTTCATCATTTTTCTCAAAAGACCATCGGTCGCTTTGTTTTCGACAATAAAAACGGATATACAGCGAGGCAATTTACCATAACGACTTAGCACTTAATGACGACTCGTTAAGCCTATATAGTAATATTTTTTATCAATTTTACTTTTACAAGTCTTTTGTTTGGGATTGGATTTGGAGTGCAACTTTATTGATAGTAAATAATAAACAAAAATTTTAAGGAAGGAGCTTTTCATTTAAAAAAAGGAGAGGAAAAGAAAGAATAAAACATGAGAAAAAATTGGACGCAGAAGGAAAAGTAAGGCAGGTAGATGGTTGGAAGGGATTAAGAGCGATAGAGAGAGAGAGAAAGACATAGACAGATAAAGAGATAGATAAAAGAACTTTAAAAACGAGCCCACAAGACTGGAAATGAAAAATTATCTTTAAAATTTATATTCTTAAGAATTCTCCTATTCCTTTTAGAATTTATTAACTCAATATAATTTCATTTTATTAACAAACTGGACAAAGAACAGATAGCAAATTATTCAAAAGCTCTAATTTTATTTTATACCGTTTGGCACTCAAACTCCCTTTGGAATTGGTAGTGCAGATGCTCTTTTTATTTCTTTAGCCACACTTTTCCAAACAAACAATTATTATACTTTTTCCAGATACTTTTCCATTATTTTACAAACAATAATCTGAAAACCTTTGCATGACTTTTAGTATAAACACTTTAAAGGCTTTTACTGTTGTACCTACACTAACGCCATCTAAAGTTCGGACATATTATATTTTTATAATAGAGCTTATATTTAATTTTTATTAATAAATTATATCTGTTCATTTATATTGTTTAGCTTCATAAATTAGCCGAAATATTATTAATTATACATTAAACCAGCGCATTTTCAAGTTTAAATAAGTTAAAAATATTATTATAATAGAGAACAATATAACTTTACTAATACATCCATAAACATATGCAGTATATGTATTACAATACAATGTATATGTAACAAAAAAAATAGAATATTTTCTAAAGAAAGAGTTGCTCTTATTGATTCTTTTTCTCTTTTTCTCTTTTTTAAGAAGGAAAAGGTAGGAATAAAATGATCAAGTACTCTTTTCTATACGATATTACGAATTATATGACAAAATAATTTCGAAAATCGATCGATTTTTCAATAGAAAGTTGAATAACGATCGACTTTAAGACAATGATTTAGTCGATAAAAAAAGACTCAGTACAAATGTGAATTCGTGAATTATTACGTATTCAAGTCCTTCTGATCAATTATTAAAAATAAATCATTTCTCTTTTTAAACATTCAATTCTAATGTAGAAGGTTTTGTATAAAGATTTCATTAAACTGTCCTTAAATGCACTATTTATATACATTGTATATAGATACTTAAATACTCAAATATATCAATTATCGCGCTAATTAAAACAAAAAATATTAATGAATTTATTAAAAATAAAGGAAATTTCTAATTTTCTTTAATTTTCTATCGCTGCACTGCTTTCTTTTCTATCATCGCTACTTCCTCCCCTTACGCTCTCTCTCTCTTTTTTTTTACTTTCCTTATTTATCCTCTTTCCTTACTTCTAAACTTTAATTTTATTAATTAAAATATATTAAAATATATTTTAAAAGGCAATTCGTTTAAACTTCAATTCGTAATCCATTACTCCCATCGGATTCCTAACAAGATGCATCTCCTCTTTTAAAGTAGATTTATCTAAGCTACACTGCATAAGACGCTAATCAATTAATCATGGTCACGAAAATGTTTCTTTAGGAATTGTTTTCAAACACGACCGATCAATTTTAATAGATAAACTAACCTGTATTTCTTGGAAATTTCCTCTCTCACCACAAAATCATCATATTAAAAAAAAATTAAAGAAAAATTATATATTTCCTTTTAATTATCAAGAAAGAATAGAAAGAGAAACAAGAATAAAACAATTAGCAAAATACTAGTTGTTTTTCATTTATCGAAAGGTTATTATTGCAAATGTAAATTATGTTTATTCACAAAATTCTTTAAATGTTAATCAGACTGTGAGTCATTGAAAACTGTCATATTTAATATATAAGCTTACGTTTTACAGAATACAACTAGAATTATAAACATGTGTACAATACTCATTAAGTACACCTAAAGTTTATGCTGATTTTTACATTCTATCAGCAAAAACAAATTGTTTTTTTTCTCATATATCACGTGATTGTTTATTTAGGAAGAATACGAGAACAATCACATAAGAAATAGATAAAAAAAATATCCCTAAAGAATTTTGATAAAAGTAAAATGCATTGTTCTCTTATTAAATATAGAAAAAAGGAGAAATATGGTATATTTTTATATTAATTATATGAAAAAAGCATATAAAAATGAAAAGTACAAATATATATTTTAGATTGAGTAGGTATAATGTGTTTTCTTGTATGAAACAAGTTCACAATGATTGTCTGAGAGTTGTATTTCATTGAAAATTGTATCGAATTGAACTTTTATGATAGAAAATCTACTGAAAATTAATATTATTTATATAAAATCCTTCAATAAATCAGAGTAAAACTATAAAAAATTAATTAATCGAGTTTTTCTGCTTTTTAGAGAAAATATGTTAATCAAGGTATGCATATACTATTTGTTTTATATACTATACTCTACGTAAACTTCATCTTTGCCGGACCTTTCAGTGGAGATGTTTGCTTCAAGTTTCTTTCATGACAATTATAAGTTCCAGCGCCGTGCTTATTTTTTATTAATGTCATACTATCGATAACTTTACCATTCTGCATAAAAAAAATGAGAAAAATTGCCATAGAATTAATTGGTTTTAATATATTAATAGGGAAAAAAATATTGTGCTTTACCTGATCGTCCGATACTTGTTCGATGTGTAAATGACTTGAATTCAGAACAGTCATTCTTGCATATCCATAATCATCGCTATGAAAAGCACTCCAGGTATTAGGTAATGGTAAAAATGGATCAACTCCTTCCTGACAACCCTAATTAAATGTGAATATAGATAAAGTTTAAAAATTTGAATAAAAGTGTATTTGTAAAAAGGTAGTAGTCTCCTTTAACTTACGGCCGAACCAGTAACAATATGAACAGGGGCTGAAGGATTTAAATAAGGATTATTTGCCGAGCCATTGCAAACTGTTAAATTGTAAACTGGCCACATTCTTTCGTAGGCATGTTCATGAGCTTGAAAGGCAACATCTACCCCGTATTTATAAAGTAATTTTTCAATACCATAATCTTCTCCAAAAGGAAAACCAATTCTAATCTATTTATTAATGTTAAATATTCAATATGAATAATTTAATGTTCGACTTACAATATTTTCAGCATTGGTACAATGTTCTGGATCATCTGCATTTGAACAGTATAAAGGTCTATGAAACATAGCAATAATCCAGGGTGTTTTCTTTCTTCTTTCGGGTAAATTTGCTTTCTGAAATGATTTAAATTCCATTTAATTGGCAGATATATTAAAAATGTATTAATGAGAGTTGTTAATTTAAAAGATTTACCTTTAAATCAGACTCTAGCCATCGATATTGATTAGCAATCTGATTCCATCCATATTTTGTAAAATAGTAATATTCCGACGAAAAACTAATAAAATGAACTGGGCCGATATCAAAACTGTTTCAATTAAAAGAATTATAAAATTACGTCCAGGGAAAGCAATTTCAGAAGAAAGAAAATTTTTTAATTAAGTATTAACCTAAAAAACATATTATGGCCATCGCCTTGAGCTTTAGGCATAGAAAAACGGCTCATATAATTCGAGAAGTTGCTGTTCACAACGAGTTGAGAAATCAATTAAGTATAATGAAATTTTAAAGAAACGAACTAGTTTTGTTCATGATTTCCTGCGCATGTCATATAAGGAACGTAGGCAGCGATTGATTGAATCTGATTCATGAAGGCGTCACCAACTTTGGCATCGTCCTGTAAATTTAATGGCTTCGCTATGAATATTTAAAAAACGAAAACTTCCTCTAAGAGCCTACAGTATCCAAATTATAAGCAAAGTCCCCAACATGGAGGATTGCGTCGAAGTGACCTCGCTGCACTTCTTCTTGCAACCGGGAAAGGGATTGGGCATTAACATTTCCCATATCACCATAAATTGCAAATCTAGTAATTAACATTAGATAATGCAGTGAGTTACACAGTATTGGGGATTAAATTAATATTTGAAATATGTATTTTCTCTACCTAGGAGACCAGTGTGATCCATCTTTAATCGCCCTAAAAAAATATACGCTACTCCAGCCGCCGTCTGGTGAACCACAATGGTAAACTGAAAATAAATTAGGGATAATATAATTTCAACTGTTTGACATGTAAAAGATATAAGATTTAGAAATAATTAGGCTTTTCAAGATAAAGATCTGTCTAAAGACCATTTCACTTTTTAAATGATAAAAGTTAACGCCTAGAGACGAGAACAATACATAAAATTTTAACTAACTGTACATAGTGCCCGGTTTTAAATCTCTTAGAACAACACGATGATTAAAGAATTCTCTTCTTTCCGGTCCTCCATCAGTAAATTTTATCGAACTTCCCTTTTCAAATTTATCAAATTCTTTTTCACCATATTCCACTATTGTTGAATTTGTATTTTGTTGAGTAATCCATGTTACCACCATTTCATTAGGGGATTCTAAAATAATAATAACCTACAGTATGGCTGAATTTAAATGTTATATAATATTTTTAATCCATAAATAGTTTAATAATAATAATATATATACCTCCAAGACTAAGGTGAATTTGTTCAGGGGATTTATAAACTTCATTTCTAGCTAAATCTACTAGAATTACCAAAATGAGCGTTAATAATTTAAGCATTTTAGTAGAATATATGGCTAAAATATTATCGCCTTGTTTATAAACACATTGCCAAGGTCATATGCATTGACGATGAAAAAATATAAAGCGCCATCTTACGGTTATACTTGATTTCTATTTTAAGGTGCTTATACAGTTCCAATAGATTTCTGGAGATTTTTTTTTTGTTAATTAATTTTTATCAATTGATTCAAGAGGTTTGCCAAAAGAACAGCATGAGTGCAGAAATATGTTTAAAATGTGCCAAATATAAACAATTCTGTATGGAAGAAATGAGGAGAATGGAGAAAGAATTATTCGATTTTCAAGAGATTTGCAACAAACAGGTAAAAATTAGACTTGATCATTTATAATAAAAAAACTGTACTAAAACTATAAAAAAAATGCCATAGAAATAGGATGAATAAAGAGACTATCAAATTTAATACATACACTTTTAAAGGTTATACTAAGTTATTCTTTAGTAATTTATCAGTGTTTTCTTTCTGCTTTTTTGTCAAAATATACCATAAAGCCTAGGGATATTATAGAACATTACTTGTGTACTAGTACACAATTTCATCGTTCTACCTTCTATTTTCTGTTCTTCCTTTTATCATTTCTTTTGCCTATATCTTTTTTTATATTATGAAAGCTATTCCTCCTTTTCCCCCTCACACCTCCTCGTCCTCCTCTTCCTTCTATTCTCAGTTTATCCTAAACTGTATGTGCTTGGAAAATTTTCACTATTCATTATTAGTTTTTTAACGTTGAACTCCATTCATTCGATCTTGTTAGATAAAATACTAGTTCAATTAGAAAAATAGCTTTGTTATTTGAATATCCATTAAATTTCTGTAATTGATTGGGTGTTTCAACATTTCTTTATTTTATATTCGTCTGGCAACTTCCATTAAAAAATATGTATATTCTTATTCTTTTCTTCTCGCCCCTTTCTAATAACATGAATCATATTTAAGATAAAAGAAGCAATGGAAAAAGGAAAAACTGTCAAGGAAGGACTGCAAATTGAGATTGAAGCTCTCAAAAAAGAAAAGAAAAGATTAAAGAAAAAGAAAGATTTAAGTGAAAATGCCGACATTGCATCTAGGACCAGCACGTTTTACAGGTTGCCAATTAATTGTATTAGCTTAATTATATTGTTACATTTTGCGTGACAAATTCATTTTTTCACTCTTTTATGCTTCTCTTCAAATATTCATTCAGAAATAAACAAAAATTGAGCGAAGCTGAAAGTGAAATAGTTGAAAAAGAAGAGGATTTAGTTGAAAGGCATGAAAGAATTTTAGAACTTGAACGAGAGGTGAATAACAATGCATTTAATTTGTTGCATGTTAACAAAAAGTTGTGAAGTTTCACCTTTTTTTCCACTATTTTCCCTTTCTTTATTGAAGTAAGAGGGATAAAAATGTTAGAAAAACTGGAATTATTAGTTCATGCACTAACCGAACTAAATTAGGCACCGTATCAACCTATGTGCTATAATTATCCCTTTTCTATATGATTATTGCATAACTATAAATCAAAAGCACTACGTGAGAGTTGAAGGTTGCTACTATTCTTTCTATATACGTCTGACAGATTGAGGAGAAGGAGGAATTTCTAAAGAAACGCTCTATAATTGTAAAAAAGAAAGAGCAAGATTTATATGACTATGATGAACATTTAGTTAAATTATCATCCGAATTGGATTTAAAGAAAAAGGAACTAGAAAAAGAATGTCAAGATACTCATGGAGTTAAAAGAAGAGAGACAGCTAAATTAAATTGGGATTTTTTAAGAAAAGCTTTTAAATCTAAAGTTACATATTCCAGTGGTAATTCAAGTGAACTTGAAATAGAATTAAAAGAAACACAGAGAAACTTATCAGAAAAAGAAGAAATTATTCAACGATTAACAGACAAGGTTCAATATTATTTTGTCTATCTTTTCTTACCATTATATTAACATATTTTATTAAAAATTCACACAAATAGGTAACAAAATTGGAATATTCTCGTCTTCAAATAAATAAGAGATTAGAGCAATACGAATCGAAGCCATCAATTATAATAACGAGTGATGATAAACCTTACACAGCCGAAGAGGTTAAGTTTCCACCCCCTTTAAATAGGAGTAGATCAGTTGGCGGTAGCCTAAGACGAGAAAGTAATAATAGTGCATTTCAGTATACATATGAAAATGAGGCTCCTTTGGTGTCAACGACTTGCTCTCTAATGTAACTATTTGGGATTTAAGCAAAAGGTCCTCGTTTTACCCATAAACACGATAGGAAAATATATATAAAACAATTAGAAAAAGAAGAAACAAAGTTTGATTATTTTATTTATTTAATTGGAAAAAAAAATCTCCTAAAATAGCAACAAAAAATTGACTTAGAAAACTAATTAAAATCTATTTCAATTTGTTATCTTGAATTGATGTTCACGATGTTTGTTTTTTTTCTTTATTTTGAACGATCAATAATACCATGATTGATTCTAATCCTTTTTTTCTTTTTTTTTTCTAACATTCAGCACTTTTTATCCCGATTTTCCCCATTTGATAAAGAAACGCACAATCCAAACGGGAGGGAACGAACTTTCAACTATATTTTCAGCATCTTCGAACAACTAACCGCACAATCGTTTTAACTTTTACACAGAAGATGGCCTTAGTGCTGAAAATAATAAATTGACTAAAAGACGCGTTTAGCACGTTGAGAAGGGATAATTACATATTATTATTTACTATTTATTGTTCATTGAATCTATACAACGAAAATAGTAATTAATCTTTTAACAAATCTAATATTTATTATTGATCTACCATCTTATTGGGTGAGAAATGTTGAGGGAAAAACAACAAATGGGCGTTTATTTACCTCTATCAGATTATATATTAATATTTTATGATAAATTACGAAACCTTTCCCGTTTTGTTGATTTTACTCTATAAAGTTTTTAGATATTTGCAATAGCTTATATCTGGGACAGTATATCTTACTTAAACATCCTCTTAAAGAGGGAAAAAATATTACTTCCATCAGTAATCTATTTTCAAAGGGCTTCAGATAATCTTGTATGCATTTGAAACAAAATGTTACAGCACTTGCCAACTGAAAAATGAATGGAAGATGATAAATGAAAAAGAAATAAACAATGCATTTATTAATTTTGAAAATAGTATTAAAAAGAGAAAAAGAAAAAACAAGCAATATTTTCAAATCAATCAAATGATAGAAAGAGAAAGTCAAAGATATAAAACAGTTACAAATCCAATTTTAGAAATATTGGAGGAAACTAGAAATAAATAATAAAAGAAACAGAATTGTTAAATTTTATCGTTAGTCATTCGAGAAGATTTCAAGTAGAATTTTGAAGAGGGTTGCAAGTTGAAACGTTTCTTGTGAAAAAATATACTATAAAGGAATCCAAAGTACTTCTTTAGATGAGCAGAAATCCAATCCAAAACTTCCTTGAAAAGATCGAAAAATCTTTCTTTTATCTTTTGCCCCATAGTCTTGTCCTTGGGAAGGGTTTAAATAGCATAGTATCAGCATAGTTGTTTTAACATTATACGTAACTCACTTCTTCCTTCAGATAACAGTCAATAAAATTTTCAACAATTACGGCTATAACCCCAATGAAAGTTGCAATTAAAATGATAAAGAATATTGGATCCAGTATTTCTTCTTTAGTTTTTGGTGCCTCTTGATAGATTGATAGTGCTGTTATGTAATATAAAAAAGGCTGTTTTAGTAAATCATTAGCAATGATTAATTAAGCGAAGAAAACTCCCTATCCGTAAAAAAGAAATAAAGGAAATTTTAGATGGATAAATACGTTTAAGAATATTATTATTTAAAGTATCAGTATTATTATGTTTGTTAGATCAACATTATCGCCCTGCTGGCCTCATCAGTTCTATAGACGTATCTTAGATCTGTAATTTCTCACTTCATAGCATTCTGCTCAAGACCAAGAAGAAAAACATCAGACGGCTCCTATCTTTTATTCCTTTATATAGAATCTATTATTCAAATTTGAAACATATATATAAAAGAGCTTTTTCGCAATTGGATAGGTTAGTTATATGGAAAATATTCCATCCTTTTAGTTCTTGATACCTCTTTCATAATATAAATGATATTGTCACGCCTTCAACTATTAATAATTCACGATATACGTTATAAATGTTAAGAGGAATAATTCTCATCATTTTAATAAAAAGAACAGTATCTTCTATATAAAAGGGGCTTTTTTTTGTCTTATTACGAAGAAAACTTTTGATAAATGACAAATAGCCTTTATGCAATATGCATGGAAATTTATAACTATTATCAATTTATTATACTTTGGTGTCATACAATATATCAATTGCGGCTCTTTAGAGGTTTAATTAGGATGTTTGAAGTTTGTATAAGGATCTATAGAGATCTAACAAATATAGTAATTGCTGGAATAAGGAGAAAGATCACCAGAATTTCACAATCCTCAGGTGTTTTTTTTAACAAATACTTAGTGTGAAAAGAGTAAGGATACAGTGATTCCATTACAAACGTCACTCGTTATAAATTTATGAAGCTCTTAAGAAGTTTGAAGCATAGCATTTGGAACTATGGCCATAGTACTTTGGTCTACTTAAAAGCCCTAGATAAAAATCTATAACAAACAAACTTCTCTTGCAGGCTGGTACTAAAGCTCTCCTTTTGAACAATTTATCAATGACCCACTCTTCCTCCAACTTTCTCGCCTAATGCCAGCGAAGAATTGGGCATGATAATGAAAGATAATCCAAGTTTAATCTAACTGAACTTACGTGAAATTTGAATTGTTCTAAAAAGTTGAAACCCTTCCGAAAAATTAAACCGTAATCATATCTTCCAATCTCGTCAACTGAAGTTACGCTGTCACACGATTTTCCAGTTAAAGATATTGCAATTGGAGATTCTTCCAGGTAGACGAAATTTAATGAGTTTTTACCAGTTTTAATGAAATCTCTTAATTGAAAATAAGATATCCAAGATTTCTTGCCAAGTTTTTCGAAAAAATCTCTCATGGGCTGATTGAGAATGGCTGTAGGGTGTTCCTTAGTTATTAATAGATCTTGCATAGTACTTAATTCTGTAATAAGTATATAATTTTGTAATTAAAAATAACGATACAAAAAGAATCAAATCTTTATTAAAATCATAATTAGATAAAATAAGAGAGTATTCGATAGACTATAAGATGCCTTAAAGTGAGAGATTCTCATTGACTATAACTTGTTATAGCTTTTTCAAATCCTATATCTCTACTCTTTTTTATCTAATGTTTTATTGCGCATCCTTTAGAAATTAATCTATTTACCCAGATTGCTGTAATGGACCATTGTATATACATATGTATGGGCTAAGAAGAATATACTATGTAATAAACACACAAATAACCAATAAACCTGTATTAGCCTGGCAGTTAAACCTTGAGGCCCCCAATTAACGTACTATTTGCAGTTGTATATAAAAAAGGTAAACATTCTACTTAGCATATTAATTACTTACATGAAAGAAGATAGAATATATACTTGTCCAAATAAAATCTGACATATTTAAACTCGTTTCATCACACTCTCTTGTTTCTACAGCTTCAACTTTTGAAGACATTATCGTATGAGCAAAATATGATGACACTCCAACAATAATTGACAAGGGTATAATCACGATCCATACTCGTATTGATAGAGGTAAAAAAAATCTAAGATGAAATTTGGTGTCTAGTCAAATTCGTCATATTTATAGTGAATGTAAATGACTAATTTCACCTAGGAAGTGTATTTATATGTTCTTTTGCTGGAATTACTGCTTTATATCCAATATTTCTTTGATAGACTGCAAAGTCTACAAATTTCTCTCTCGCTTCACTTTTTACAAAGCATCCCAAAAGCATATCAGATTTCTATAGAGGAAAGAAAAAAGTTAATAAGCATTTGATTAGTTTTCTAGGTTAACTATATACATTCTCTGATAAAACTTTAAAATATTTTTCCATAGTATTACCAGTTAAAACAGACGAGAAGTTTAAACTCTCTACCTCAGATGTTAATTTTATCTTAAGCATTGAAATTTTATAAATTTTAATCAAATATTGAATAAAATATAAAACCTCGAACCAAAATCTCTCTCGAAAAGTAGCTAAAACATCAATGGCTAATCCTTGATAGTTTTCCAAGTCTTTATAATAATATCCTCTATTTAGAGCATCTTCATCCTTCAATTTTTCTATACAACCTTTGTATGAATATAAAAGTTGGCTTATTGCAAAAACTAATTCTACATATAACTAGAGAAGAAGGTGGAAAGAACATATCAAACCAGGCTGAAATAATACAGGTTCTGCTCGAATGGGTATCTGTATGTTGCTCAAAAATCCATTCGGAGAGCTAAAAGTTTGTCCAGGGTATCGAATTGTTGCTTTTCTCCATGTAAAACCGGAAGTAGGATTAAATTGACCCACTAAATTCCATTTATTAATTCTTGAATTATAGAATGTAATAATAGTATTAGATATCTCTTGGTTGCGAAGTTTATTAAGAAATTTATCAGTGCAATTAGTCAAGTTTGGCTTTGAGTCGAGACACTTAGAATAGGAGTTGTTGATTTTGCAGTTCAAGTCTTTGTAATTAACAAGAATTCTCTTAATTGCATTATCGTAGAATGAGCGAACAGCCTTTGTAAGAATAGATGGATGTTTGTGTAGAATTTTATAAATTTTTCAAGACGTATTTCAAAGTGAAAATATAAGTGTTTTAGTTAATTTATTTCTTTTTGTAAATATAGTAAACCTCATCTAGAATATGCCTTCCTTCCGTTGTTTTCGTTACTGGATTCATACTAGGTACAACATATATTATACCATCATCTACATTTCTTAAATCAGATGGTACGGAGATATTCATCATACATTCTTGATCGATGTTTACATTCTGCAATGTAAATACTCTCTAAAAAAGAACTATGAATATTTAAGCAATCTCAATAATACAAACGTTTAGAACTACTGTCCACATCCAGTCATATTCCATCATTTCCTTTTGGCTTGCTCTTTCGAGTATTGGCTTGTAGCAGTTGTCATTAATGAATAAAAGTATTAATCTTGTTCCTGAAAATAATTAACAAGTTAGTGTATAATTCAGATATTCCCTAATATGCACTACAGTTCATATGTATAGAGGTTTGATTTACCATCTTTTTTAACAGCATTTAATGCATCGTCAATATCGTTTACTGAATTACGCGTTATTCTTTGTATAGATAGTATATCGAAGTATTGTAAAACTTTAAAAGATGGATAGGTATCTATTTTTAATTAAATTAAATGAAAGTACACCTAGATTAGTTGTAAATAGTTATTGGAATTAATACCTGAATCGTGTATAATTGACAATCTGGTCCATTTAAAATGATGTAAGTATTCAACGAGAGCCAAGTCAATTAGATTTAATATTGAGTGTTTTGTCTAGATAGAAAGAGAGAGATTTTTAATGAAAAGTTAATGCGAAAAAAAGAAATCTCTTCTGCTTGTCTTTTTTACGTTCTATTAGTTACTTTTATTACGTAACGATATGAATCTTTAATTCGATCTGAATGAGCAGGCTGGAAGTGAATTATTCTCAAATGATTTAAAATAGGATTAATAACATTAAAAAAGGACAATTCAGTTGGACCAATGATAACATCGATATTTCGCTTGACCAATTCACATGCTATGGAAATTCATTTATAAATATTCATAAGGAATTATGACAGTATGATTTATTACTAACTGTATTTTTGACAATCCAGCGGATTGTCTCTTTCGGCCGACTTTATAATAAAAGTAACATTTACTTTATAACTTTTTTTTCCAAGTAATTCTGATCTAGAAAGAATAGGAGTAATGATATTTCTTGTGTTTTTATTACATAAAATCCCTATAAATATAGAAAGAATAAAGAATTGTATCATAGATTTTATTAATAATTTGTTGTTATTTATCAATAATTCAATATTTGTCACTTTAAAAGTATATTACCAATTTTCAATGATTGACATTCATTGGACAGTAGAATTGTTAGTAAAGCTGTTAACATAGCTCTTTCTTTCAAGATTTTTGTCATGTTAAAAAGTTATATAAATATGTTTTTTTTTTAAATAAGCTAATTTTAATTTGACGTAACGTTTCTCTTTATACTTTTTCTACATTATTTGTAAAACTAAATACCGTCCTGTCTAACTTTAATAATCTATCGCCAGATGTCGCAGCGTTCTTTTCACTGGAGAGAGGAAAAAAAATATATAAAGAATAAAAAATATTCCGTCGTCTGCTTATTTCCTGTTCCGTTTTGACAAAATTTCCACTCTTTGGATATTTATTAATTTTTATGATTTTAAACCGAACTTTTGAATAAATAAAGCATATGCAAATAGCAATAGAAAATAAACTAATATAAAAAAATTGAGAATGAACTTTTGAAAATTGGTTATTCAACTAGAAAATGTCATTCATATTTCGTAATTGAAAATGAACGAATCTGATGATGTTAGTATTCTATTTTACATTCTATGACCTTTTCAAATCAACGATTGAAAGTAATAATATATTTATAAAAAATAAAAGTGAACGAATATTGAAAACTAGCAATATCCGTACACATCTAAAAATTTCTTTGTTTTTAAAAAAAAAGAGGCAAGCTTTTATTTTTTTTTAAATTTCGTGGAATAGCATAAATACAGAATTTAACAGCTTTTATCTACTTACCCTGAGCCCTTTTTAAATAATAATCTTCAATACCGCAATTTTACAGTTGGGAAAAGTAGATTTTTTTCCTTTTTTTTTTGGAAGGAAAGAATAACACGAGTATTTTAATCTGAATATCTTACGTGCTTAAGTTGAAGAAACTAATGATTGAAAAAATTTATAATAAAAAAGCTAAATTAAATTGTAAATAACAGTTAAAATGAAAATATAAAACTTAAGGGCAGAGGTGAAGAAATCAGAATTTTAAATATATAAATCTATAAGTACTTGTATATTATAATTAACGAAAGAAATCATTTAGTACAAAGAGATCTATTTCAACTATGCAAACTAAGTAATTTTCTATAGTTATCGTGAGGAAATGGAATTCTCCTCTATTAAATACTAGAATTTGGTACCTAATTTCAGTTGTATAAATACTGAGTTATATAGCTGTTTATTTATCTCATAGGCGAAAATCGATTATTTGGCAAAAAACATTACTTATGGATAGACTAAAAATCTTATTTTCTTCAGTTTTTAGCGCTTTTTCTATATATATACATATCAAAAGAACAAAGCAATAAAATATTCAATAATCTTATGTAATAGCATCATTTATGTCAATAAACGTTATTTCGAAGATAGGCCTTTTGAATAATTAATATATTCAATGCACTGTCACAAATTATTAATGTATAATATACAAAATATATGATATGTTCTTTTTTTTTCCCCTTATAATTTCTCTATTACCATTCAAATAATACACGCGTTTCCTCTTTCTTTTTTAAATAAGTAACTTATTATTCAATAGTTTCTGAATAGAAACTTATAGTATTATTTGTAGATATCATTTTATAATCAACCTCATATAGAATATCGAATGCATTGTCAATTTTTTTAACTTATCTTTTACCTCTCTAAAACGCTTTTGTACATTCAATCATTATATTATAATTGTTTTTATTGATAAAAAACTCGTTCAAAACACCTCTTTCTTTCGATTTCGATTTATTTTATAATCCGAAGAGAAAATGTTTTACTGGTAACGTTTTTTTTCAATTTATCATTTCTGTTCTATAGATATCGGACATCCAATCTTTCCACATTGATTCAACTATATGGAAGATAGTATCGAAAATAGGAAATGGTTCTTGTAGTAATGTATACGAAGTTATTAATGATAACAGTGAAAGAGTTTGTTTTATTTCTTTAAGAATATTGAACTTTTATAAAATATTATTATTATTATTGCTATTATAATATAGGCTGCTTTAAAAGTATTCAAGGAAGGCGTTCGTTATAAAAATGTTTGCCTTAAGGAATTTTCAATATTATCGACTTTGATTGGATCTAATTTCGAAAAGATTGATAACTTTTGTAAATATATAGGTAAAAACTACCATCAAATAGTATTACGTTACGTTATATTTAGTATTTAAATATATAGTTGAACTAAAAAGCAGTATTTTTGAGATCGATAGGAAATACTGTTTCTTAGAGGAGCTTTTAGGGTCAAACTTATACGAATTAATGCTACTAAATGATGGATTAGGATTTTCTCTGTCAACAATAAAGAAAATATCATTAGATATTTTAAGGTAAGCTCTATTATATATTTTATTAAAATATAATTTTAGCGTTGGCTTGCTAATGTTTCTTTCGTTTCTTTTCTGGATTCCAATAATTTGTTTTGTAACAAATTTCGTTAAAGAACGAGTGACTTTGATGGTTTCATTATTTTAATTAATCATAAGTCTAAGAAGACCATCTATGTTTTAACAAAATTAAATTCTAAATGTAGTTTTACTTTAACTTTTAATAGGAGAAAAGTGCACAATTTACATTTCAGAAAGAGAAGAATAAGTCAATGGCAATTAAAATTTTATTAGTATCTTAACGGTTAAAAGTTTTACACTCTTCTATGTTAATAATAAATTTTAATTGCTCCAGAGGACTAAATGTTATAAATTAATTAATCAATAAATATTTCTTGTTAATAAACAATATTATCAGATACTTAACAGTCTTCTTAACAATTTCCTTTCATATATTTTTACTCCAGTGATAATTTGTTTTTGTTGTATTAAAACAGTATAAACAAGACTTTCTATACCATAATTTCAACGTAACGTTGTAATATTAATAATAAAACTTTCGTATAAAAAAAAGGCTAGCTACAAAAAAAAACAAATCATAACTTTTTATTCTAAAACAAAGAAATAAGGTTTTTAAGAAAAATATCGCAATTATATTGTAATTTAAAGTTGTATTATACTTGGAGAAAGATACAAGTACGGTATTTCTTATTGAAGCCAATCAAATACCTTGTTCTATTTATATTCAAATGTAATCTTAGAAATAGAAACAAAACTCCTCTTCAATATATTATATAATATATTGTTTCTTTTATGATAAAAAATAACAGAGGTCTACAACATATGCATGGTGAAGAGTTTATTCACGGCGACCTAAAAATGAAAAATTTAACCTGGTCTGGAAATAGTGAAAGTATAAAATTGATTGACTTTACACACTCCTATAAAAAAAATGATAAAGTTGTAAACATTTTCGTAAGAAGTGATAAACGAACACGTTTCTATTTACCAGGACGTTTACAAGCTACAAACGACTGCTTATAGAGCTCCAGAAAGTTTTTTATGGAACGAAAATTTCCAGGGTCCTCCAAAGAAATCCATTGACATTTGGAGTTTAGGATGTATTTTAGTTGAGTGTTTTACAGGAGAAATTCTCTTTCCAAGCGGATGTAAGGTAAAAATTAAATGTTTTCGTTTTTAATTTAATATCTTTTACATAACAAGTAGTATTTTAATAACATATATCTACGTTACTGTGTGATTATAGTAATATAAACATGGTATAAAGATTTCTTTCTAAAAGAAATGCGTCCTAATTAACTCAATGTAATTTCCAATAACAAGAATTTCATGTTCGTTTAAAAAGACGAATTCCACTGATATAATGTTATAGATGTACTTGAAAGAATTCCTATGTTGGAATGGAAGGCTTTCTCGTAATTTTCTTAATTATATATTTTAATATTGAAATTAAAACAGTCCAAGAAAATTAAAGAGTTTAGTATAATCATAACATTTCGATTTGCTACATTCTAAATATTAAAATACCTCTTAAATTAAACGTCTGTAAGAAAGTATAAGTTTTCATTTTAATATTTTTAAATGTAAATACTCATTTATAAAATTGAAATATTACTTTTTTAAGAACGTAAATGAAATGGATATAAGGAAAAGATTAGAAATCCTCATTAATCCTAGAGATGAGGATATCAAACTAGAAAATTGCAACGAAATAGTCTCCAGTTTTCGTGATTTACTCAACAGGTAAAGGAAAAATATTTTCTCTTTCTTTTTTTTTTTTAAAAGAAAATACAGTGATTTTAAAAATGACACGTATTCCCTACTCTACAAAACTCTTACTAATGGTATCACGTTCTATGTATTATCGTCACCCGAATTCTAAAGGACAAAGCAAACTGAGACCTTTCTTATTTCACCATAAATATTTCCTCAATGACCGTTGAAAACTAAAAACTAGAAATATTATTTCCTTTATTATTTTCCTGTTTTTTTTCTTTAGAAAGTAATAATATCAAATTATTAACATTCGCTCTCTAGGTGTAAAAATGTAATTTATGCTGTATTTTATAGTATATATATTCATATTCTTAAATATTAACTTGATATTCATATTTAAGTGATAATTTGATATCTTAGAAATTGACATATATTTCCTTTTTTGTTTAAGCTAATAATAGAATTTGCCTTTTCGTTAAAGAGAATATGCTTGAGCTGTAGAAAAGTACGAAGAGAATATTATATGAAATTATAAATATCCAATCTATTGATTGTGGCACTTCAATAAGTATAGTATATAACCAAAAATTTATTAGACGACTTTTCCACGTAAAAAGTTTCTATAGAATTGTATAGTTCTTTTATAATAATTTCGATTTGAAGGGTAAAAATATCTATAAAATATAGAATTAGATAACCAAGATATAGTGCTTTAACTGAAATGAATATTTTTTAATAGACATATATATCTTTCACGCAATAAAAGGAAAGGGTTGATAAATAGGAAAGTAGATTTTTTGTTTTATAACTGCAACTTATTTTCTGATTTTTGTTCACGATATTTATGAAAAAGAGAGTTTTGCTTTTGGTTAGGAATTTTTTAAATTTTCATTTCCATGTATTAGCTATTAAATTATTTAGTTTGTTTATAATATGGAAAATTATTTGATTGTATGATTACAGGATGTTAATAGTAGATGAACACGCTCGTATTAACTTGGAAGAAGCGATTTATCATTCTTTCCATGCTTCCAGCATTGGTA